GGTACGAATACAGAATCGTCGTTTTACATCTGAAATAGAATGTTATGTCAATTATACCTTAATTTTTTAAAAAAAAGAACGTTGAGCTTAGTAACCTGTAAGTGCTTAAGTGTTTGATGATGTCATCCTTCAGTGTCCTTACGCTGGAAGTCTGGATAGGTGACGGACCTTTTACTTCGGAGGGTGTGGGTTGTTGCTTATGTTTTGGTACCCGGACATTATGGAGTCCCATGTTCACCCAAGATCTGCCAGTTGCAGATCTGAATCTTGCTGTTGTAGCGCAGTCAAGCATAAGAAACGTACGTTGGACATAACCCACATATCAGTGTTTTTGTCCACATGAATGACATTCCACAGTAAAGCAGAGCTAGAGAAACTTTAGGAAAAGAAAAGGGGAGGAGACTCTGCTAGGGCTGGCATTGATGGTCCCTGAGGACAGAGGGCCTGATGTCATCCAGGAGGTGGAGTGGTGGCCCTGAGGTGTGGCGCCCTCGGTCACTGTCGTGTTCTGGACTATGCCCTTGGACTCCACCCTGGACCGAGCTAGCCTTCCTTAGAACTGTCTTGTGCCAACTCTGCGGGGCCATGCTCCCAGCTCTAGAATGCCACAGTGTACACGTGCCCAGCCTCAGAGCCCCGAGAGTTTCCCAGCCCTCTCTGTGGCTGCCCTGCTACTCAGCGGGTCCTCACCTTCCAGTGGCTCGGGGACGCCTCAGGGTCTGTTGAGAGTGGGTGTGCACGTCTCCAGCTCCGCTCCTGGGAGCGGAAGGAGAGAATGTGGGGTTCCCTTAGAAAATGAGGGGGGATGGTTGTCACTTTGGCTTCCTGGGTACAAAACATGGGGGTTGCATACTTGACATCTTGGGCACATGTCGGTGTCAGGTGGGGCAGCTGGTGGCCCTGGAAGTCGGGGACATCCTGCGACCTCTGACCTCAGGACCTCCTCCAGTGGCCCGACTCCTGCAGGGTTTGCCACCGGTGTCCCCGTGTGCGGGAGACGCCCCCCGAGTGCTTCCTGGAGACCCGAGTCCTGTGATCGTCACGACTGGGAATGTGGAGGGGTTTGGGGGTTGAATGGACAGCCACGTTTTTCTAGGTGTCTCTGGTGCCGTGGTTAATTCTACGGCAGTTTACCTGAAAACCGACCTGGGGACATATGATCGCAAATGCAGGGGGTTGAGGCCCTTGGGAACGCAAAGGGCTGGTGGCCTTGATTCGAGGCTTCTGGTGCTCTGAGGTCTGTAGTCACAGTGTCACAGTGACGATCTGCAAGTCTACAACCAGGGAACCGTTCGCACAGGGAGGCACATGCCTCTGCCCTTTGGGCCACCTGATAGCCTCCGCACAGCATTTTAGCCGCCGCTGGCGCAAACAGTCCAAAAGCCCAGCTTGGCCACCACGTCACACCTCGTGATGCTTGGGAGTAAGGAGGTGAAGCATCCTGTGGCGTCTGACTGGCGTGTGATCTGTTCTTTGTCATTACGTGTGGAGGAGGCTCCTGCAGTGATAACCCCGGGAGGAGGTGGTTCATCGGGACCTGCTGAGCGCGGGTTGGCCCCTTTGCTGAGGGGAGCCTCAGTGGCCAGCGAGGGTCCGTGCGGCCGCGTGCACCCGAGGAGGAGCTCTGCCGCTCAGGTGTGGGCTGGGCAGAGCCTCCCCGTACCTGCTGGCCCTGCCGGGGTGACCCGCCGGGTGGCGAGCTCTCCGGCCCGCGCGGACCCTCGGGTTACCAGCCCGCAGTGCAGCGCCTGAAGACCCTTCTCAGAAGAAAATGCCGAGTGCCTCTCTCCAGCGACCGTTTCCTCGTGGAAAACAGGCCCAGGAGATGACTTTGTCTTACTGAGGCCACAAACTGAGTGTCATTCCTCAGCCGCCGTGACTTCAGAACGTGGCATCTGTGTCTCAGAAAACATTTTTAGGGACGCCTATGTGGCTCGGTCATTAAGCGTGCATCTCCGGCTCAGGTCATGATCTCAGGGTCCTGGGATCAAGTCCCGCGTCGGGCTCCCCGCTCGGCGGGGAGCCTGCTTCTCCCTCCGCTGCCCCCCTGCTCGTGCTCTCTCCGAAATAAATAAATAAAATCCTAAAAAGAAAACTAGCGTTTTAAAAAAAGCTTGTTTTTTAAATAGAAGAATCCTTCAGTGCGCCGTCTGGAACGGGTAAGAGGATGGAGGGTGTGACCGTTTCCTCCGTCCCCTGCTTCTGTGCCACGGAGCCGCCGCGGAGGCCTGGTGGGAGCCCGTTTCCCAAATCACCATCTGATGCACCGAGCAGTCGAGTCTCGTGTGTTTGTTTATTCTCCATCCTAGCTCGGGGCGGGGAAGCTCCTCTTTCCGCAGGGCGTTTGCAGCAGGGGGACCAGAGTTCCTGGGGGCTTGGCCGGGGCGTGGGGAGCAGCCGGGGGCGTCGCCTCCATGGGCCCTGCGGGGTCGCAGCAGAGCTGGCACAGCCCGTTGCCGTCGCCCTGCCGAGGCTGAGCTCGAGGACGGCCCGCGGCCGGTCGGGCACACCGTCAGCCGGTGAACGGGCTCCGCCAGCATCTCAGCTGACACGGGCTCTGCTCCGGGAGTCTGGTGGGGACACGGCACGGCCGTTGGGAAGGGTCGGAGTGGGCGTGTTCCAAGGACCGTGGGACCAGGGAAGGACGGCCTGTAGGCCCCAGGGCTCCGCAGAGCTGAACGCCCGAAGCCCGTGCCTCTGAAACACTTGGCCCCGCTTCTGTCGCAGCTCCTGAGAGCCGGTGATTGGCCCCGTCGACAAAGAACAAAGTCGGGTCGGTACCCACTGGTGGGCGTGGGGCCGCAGATCCAAATGAGGGGCTTTCTGTGAGCTGTCCTCTCGCGTGCTGGAGTCCTCGTGGGAGTGTGGCTGCTGCTTCCTGACCGGGAGCCTGGGACGGATCAGACCGTGGTGGAGGGACGAGTCCACACCAGCCTGTCGGAGGCCCCAGGGGTCAGCGGACAGACCAAGGACAGACTTCTTACAGGGGGACAGGACTTGGCACGTCTCTGTGTCGCAGGGGGTTGGAGGTGATGGGCTGACGTCAGGTGTGGTCTGGCTTTTCTTGAAGAGCCAAAAAGAATTATTCGCAAGGTGACCGGGGAGGGGGTCCCCGTCCTTACAGCCCAACCCGTCAGAGGAAGGGCCCTCAGCTGAGGGGGAAGCTGCAGCGCGGGGACATGGGCACCCAGGGAAGGGACCTCCTGAGGGCCAAAGTCCTCCTGAGGCGGGATGCAGTTTCCCAAAGCCGGCGGCCGTGAGGACGGGGAGGAGGCTGCCTGCGGAGACGGCATGTGGGGGGCCGCGGGTCTGACGCCGTGCGCAGGGCATCCACCCGCCGGGCTGCAGGCTCCGGGGGCGAGTGTGCGCTCAGGTTCAGGGGGTCCGTGTGCGAAGGGGCAGCACAGGCTGCTTGGACGGCAGGGGACAATCCTGTGTCCAGCAATGGGCCCGGGTCGCTGTTTCTGCCCAGTTGACGGGCACTCTGAGGAGGAATTCAACGACGGAGGGGACAAGGACCCCTTTCTGGCAGAGCGCAGAGCAGAGGCGAGGTCTGAATTTCGGGCTGAGCTGCGACCTTCTGTCCGTCACTGTCCTCACCTGCTGTCCCGGCTCTCACTCTGGGCGGGCTCTCCTGTGTGTGTGATTACGTCACATGAGCCATGGGTCGGGAGCAGATGTGAGAGGACATGCAGGAGAGCCGGGCGGGGAGGCAAGCGGCGGGAGATGGCAGGTCACGGCTGACAGCCCGCACGCACCCTCCTGCCCTGTGGCTCATGTGGCCTGGAAGTCAACGGTCTCCGCAAGTTCTCGCCCATGAAGAAGTGTCTTCCCGCCACCGAGGGGGATCTCAGAGCCTGTCTGGATGTCTGGCAGCGTGATCCCAAATTCACATTTGCGTCACTGTAAAAACCCTACGTGAAGAAGCACCGCGTGAAGGAAAGGTCCCTGAAATGGGCACATCTCTCCGTCGGGCGCCAGCCCTGTGCTCCCTGCTCGGGGCTGGGGGTGCACAGTCCCACACAGCTCCGGGCTTTCCCCGTGGGGCTGAGCTGCGAACCACCTGGATGACTAGTCCTAGATGTCAGAGCTGCGGGCTTCACCGCTAGACGCATACGGTCTTCCCGTGCCGTCTCAGTGGGGCACACGTGGGCAGAGGGGTGTGCAGCCGTGGCGGGTCTGCGCAGGGGGCACGCATGAGCGTGACCTGCCTTCCGCGCTGTGGCGTGTGGTTGTAGGAACGCCTGCTGTTTCCTGGCTTTTGTTTTCTGAGTCGAGCTGGTGTGACCGGTGGGCATAAAGCAAGCCCACTGAGCAGCCGTGCCCCAGGCAGCTGGACGTGGTTAGCGACCAGACCACGTGGTGGCAGCCCCCGCGCGGCCTGTCCCAGGAGCGCCCCATCCCGCAGGGTCTGCCGTATCAGTGCTGGTGGTCGAGGGCTTCTGGGGTCCGTGTACTGCAGTGGGGGTCTGTCCAGACCCGTGTCCCCGCTCCACCGAGAGCTGGTCCGGGCTAAGGGGGTGGTGCAGGGGGTCCTTATGTTCCGCTCGCCCTTGTCACGCGTCATCACACAGCGGGGCCCTGTGCTCTGGGCGTCTTCAGAATCGGGCTCCACGTCAAGCAGGGAGATGTTTTCTGGGCGCCTTCCATTTGCCACGATAGTCCCATTTCACGGTCGTGGTCATTGAGACCCGCAGGGGGGCCCAGCAGTAGCCTCCGGAGACCTGCCACGTGCCAGCCACACGCTGAGCCCCGTCCACGCTCCTCGGCTCCTCCCCGCTGCGGACAGGGAGACTGAGGCGGGGCGACCCTGCCACCCTGCCTAAGGTCCCACCACAGCGCATGCAGCCTGGGACGTGAGCCACACTGCTCTACCCCCGGGAGGTTCCCTCTTCCCCAGAATCCAGGGCGAGGCCGCGTTCTGCAGGGACGCCGCGGTCTTCTCCGGTCCTCCCCGGTCCTCCCCAGCTCTGTGACCCTTCTCCCCGCTGCTCCCCCAGGATGCTGGAAGCCAGCAGATCGGGTTCTTGCTCGGGAGCTGTGGAGTCACCGTGGCCTTGACGAGCGACGCCTGCCACAAAGGACTACCGAAAAGCCCGACGGGCGAGATCCCGCAGTTCAAAGGTAGGTGACTTCCCGCGCCCCCCTGGGGACTCTGCACGTGGGGCGCTCCTGCGTCTCCTCGGGTCCTCGGCACACTCCTGCTCGCGCGGCATGTCACCTGTCGCCTGCTGTGTGGCGCGGTGCAGCCGGGGACATCGTGCTGTGGATGCGTGGGGCCTGAGGCTTGTGCTGCGGGGCCACGGGCCGCAGGAAGTGGAGGCGCCGCGCACCTGCTTCCGGGGGCCGTTCGCCAGAACGCGCCGTGTCTTGTCTCCAAGGGTGGCCGAAACTGCTGTGGTTTGTCACCGAGTCAAAGCACCTCTCTAAGCCGCCTCGAGACTGGTTCCCACACATCAAAGACGCAAACAACGACACCGCGTACATAGAGGTGGGCCACTGGGCTTCTGACGGCGCGCGGACCCCGGGCTGGCTGGGCCCTGCCGGGTGTGGGCACGTGGTCGCCTCGGAACCCCGTCGGCACAGCCTGCTCTCTTTTCAGTATAAGACGTGCAAGGACGGGAGCGTGCTCGGGGTGACCGTGACCAGGATCGCGCTGCTGACCCACTGCCAGGCCCTCACGCAGGCGTGCGGCTACACGGAAGGTACGGGCCAGCCCTGATGGGAGCACGTCCCTGGGCGGCGGGCATGGGCCGCTCTGTCCCGTCCCCGCACCCCCACGGCAGGAGTGGCGTCAGGTTTGTGCGCAGCTCAGACCTTCCCGTTGTCCTCGCCAGGCCTCCCCCTGCATGGGGAGGGACAGCTCTGGTGGCTCTTCTCATCAGGACACCAGTCCTGGCGGGTCAGGCGCACCACTGTGGCCTCACTTAACCCGGTTCTCCTGCACAGAGGCCCCGTCTCCAAGTTGCTCCACGCCGGGTGAGGGTTCCGCCTGTGACATCAGGGGACACCGCTCAGGCTGTCAGTTGATTCCATGAGAACTCATCCCTCGGTGCATGCTAGGGTCTTTTTGGGATCTTTGAAAAAAAAAAAAACCCACGTTCAGCCCTCCCTGGCACCTCAGAATCTCTGATGGGGTTTGTGTGAGCTCCCTGGGGGCGGGGGGGCGACCACAGTCCCGAGCGCGGTTTCCAGGATGCATGTTCTTTCCCCTGTGCCGCACGGCCATAGAGGCCTAGAGCTGGGGTCACCAGGAGTAGCCGTGGCAATCGTATGGCCTTGGGCTCATAAACCGCGGGGTCCAGACCGATCCCCCTCTCCTGTGGCTGGGGCTTTTGTGACCAGCGCCCTGCCCTGGAGACTTACCGGCAGGCAGCCTGCGGCTGGGGCGTCCCCTCCCCTGCGGAGCAGGAGCTCTCCTCGCTCTCCCCCATCCTCCCCCATCCTCCCAGTGATCTCCTTTATACAAAATAACTCGTTGGTGCTGTGGGGACTTCTGGCTAACGTTCAATCCCTGGGCTAGGCCCCGGCATGTTTCCCCGTCAAGACATGTGGCCACTGGTCACTACCAGCCGGCCAGTGCCTTTTGCTTTGGTTACAGTGCTGTCTGCAGCCTCCCGACTGTAGCCTGTCTCCGTAGCCCTGCTTTTCAGAGGTCCGGGGCTGTGGCGGTGGCGAGTGGCCCGGAGGAAACGCACACGCACATGCACACGCACACGCTCCTTGCTTCTGAGTAGGATGCGCTTGTAGACAGTGGGACAGCAGCCGTTGCCTCTGTGTGGTGGCTTGTCCCCTCAGGAGGAGGGTGGCACGCAGTGCCGGAGCCGTGGCCAGCCTCGTGGGAAGGAGCGTGGACAGACGTAAGCGGAGGGCTCGCTGGACGCCCCGTGCGTGGACGAGGCCGTGCTGGGCTGGTGCGCACGCGGGTAGACAAGCGTGACTGTAGAGGCGTCACTCGCGGCGTCACTAGCCCTCAGCCTGGCCCTTGTGTTCAACCTTGTGTTTTTAGCGTTCGTTTCTTCCCCAGAATCACGGGGACACTGTTCTGTTGCTGCTCTCTGGGGTCTCCTTTGTGACCCAACCCCAGCCTGAGTCTTCTAGCGACTTTACCCTGCATTTGCTGGGAAAGGTTTTCCTTTCTTGGGAGAAGCCATGATGGATACGGAAAGAATCTTAAAAAAGGACAAGGCCGGGGGAGGGAGTAAGTCCAGGAAAAGGAGGCAGGAAGTGTTTTCAGGGACATGTGAGGCTCTCACTGTGGACATGAGTGTCAAGAGGGTATCTGGAAGCTTCTCCGGGCAGGTGGCCCGTGTCTACAGACATGCTGTGGGCTGCCCCTCAAGGCCTCTCCTGCCCCTGACCGACGTGGTCTTGCGTCCACTGGGAGTACATGTCCTCTGTTTCCCTCTGTGCAGCGGAAACCATAGTGAACGTGCTGGACTTCAAGAAGGACGTTGGGCTCTGGCATGGAATCCTGACCGTAAGTGCGACCCCGGGCACACTGGCTGCGCTCGGTGCCCCGGTGGGAATTAGGGTCCGTGTGCAGGGCGGCTTGGGGAAGCCGCTTCCCCTGCATGGGGAGAAGAGCCGTCGGCATTAGAAGCCCTTAGCTGTTTGCAAATGTGACTTCCAAAGCCCTGTCCCTGCCCCCGTGGGAGGGAGCATATGGACCCTCCCCAGGCGCTCATGGCAAACAGAGCGTCTCTCCTCCCAGCTCCTGGTGCTCTGAATGCAGTGACATCTCAGTCTTGGGTTTGGGGCACGACCCTAGCGTGCGATTTGGCTGTGACATCCTTGGGCTTTTTCTCTCTGTGAGTCTGTATTTGTGAATATGATGGAAGCCTCGTCCCTTACACTGCGAGGGGAGGTTCCAGGGGTCGGCCATGGTGACAGTTGGGCTCCTGTGCCTCAGGGAGGTTCGTGCCCGCGGATGAGTGAGGGCGGCTGGAAGCTGCAGGCGGGTTTGTGGAGACGTGGCCGTGTCCTCTAAGATGCGCTGAGCCTCAGAACACAGCTCGGGGCAGGCTGTGTGTGTCCTCGGTGCTGATATGCACTCCCTGCTTCTCCAGGCGTCTTGTGCTGGAACTGTGTCTGTGCAGGGGTGGAAAATTCTAGTGGCTTTCCCATGAGCAGTGGGACATACGTACAGAGAGCAGGCCTTGTGCTTTCTCTGCGAGGAGTGGGGCCTGTGAGCACCGTCTGGACCGGAGGTTGGGGCCCACACTCGCCCCTCCTGCTGCAGCTCCGCTCTGCCCCCAGATGCCGGGTGATACTAGGATGCGGGGACGCAGCTCCCCAAGCACGCTCATGCGGTGAGCACAGGGCCCGGGACTGCGGCCGGCCTCAGCCTTGCCGTCTGCGCTCTGTGCCTGCAGGCCCGTTGCCTGCCCCTGGGCCCCCTGCACCGCGGCGTTGCTATCCGTCAAATGCAGCGCCAGTCCTGCGTGGGGTCTGTCCAGCCCAGGGTGCGGCAGGCACTTAGCCCCCCTCCCTGCCTGGAGGCTGTGGCGGCTGCTGTGGCGGCTGCCGTCGCTGCTACCGGTTGAGTGTCTCCTTGACGTCACTGTGTGGGAAGCTCTGTGCCAGGTCTCGGTGTTGTCACCCAGTGTCACTGTGGCTCTGGGCCTGCAGCTTCTGCCTCCCTTGCCGCTTCCTAGAGCCAGGCCCGTCTGCTGCTAGACGCACACACTCCTCTCTGCGTCTCACACGGCAGAGGGTGCTCTCAGTCCCCGCGTGGAGCAGGGGCGAGCTCGTGACGGGGCCCGGCCTGGCGGGTGGGGTGCCTTTCCCCCGAGCGTCTGGCAGTTGTCCCCTGTGTTGCTTCCAGAGTGTCATGAACATGATGCACGTCATCAGCATCCCGTACTCGCTGATGAAGGTGAACCCGCTGTCCTGGATTCAGAAGGTCTGCCAGTACAAAGGTACGTCTCCGGGGCCCTCGAGTCCGCGGTTCCCAGGCTGACGGCACGCCGACTAACGCCCTTCCCTCCGCTGTTCCCGCAGCGAAAGTGGCTTGTGTGAAATCCAGGGACATGCACTGGGCGCTGGTGGCACACAGAGATCAGAGGGACATCAACCTCTCTTCCCTGCGGATGCTGATCGTGGCCGATGGCGCAAATCCCTGTAAGTGGCAGCTGGAGAGAGCCTCGAGCTCCCCGTCCCGCCCCCACGCTCTGCTCTGCCTGGTCCCGTCGCTGCCTTGTTCGGAGGCGGCCTTCCGCGAACGACCTCCCACGTGACTCACTGGAGCCTCCAGCCACCACGGGTGCCGGGGACCCGGGGTCCTGGGCTCGAGTCCTGGTGTTTCCACGTCCTGATTCCGTAGAGAAGGATCCTGACTTTCTGATGTTAACCCTTCTCTTTCTTTAGCAGCAAATTCGTACCGAAGTCATAAAATTTTAGGAGGGTTGAGTGAAGTGGTTCCTTGGCCTTGGCATGGCTACTACTCGGGAAGTAGTAATTATTGCTATTTTATGGTCTACAGTAATTTTCTTGATTGGGAAAGTAATTTATCATTTAGTGGAGTTTCATTATCAAATCCTGTAGGAAGCACCGCCTGGCAGAGCGATTTCGCAGTCCCACAGGCTCCACGAACACACTTGAGAAGTTCCGCTCTGCGTTGAGGCCAGACGCAGTGAGCCTGGTCTGGGCGAGAGCCAGTGAGCCGGGGCAAGTGGGCGAAGGAGGCGTGTGTTTCTGTCCGTAAGCGGTGCCGCGTGCACATTCGTAGATTGAAGCAGCACAGACTTTCTCAGAGCCTGATTCGCAAACGGGGACTCGCGCCACGTGGTTTACCGTGACTTGTCTCGCGGGTCTCCTCAAACAGACCTGTGACCAAAGAGCTTCCCGAAGCTTCCTGAACAGCTCTGTGACCCGCGAGCTGCTTCGGGACAGTGATTTGAGCCACCTGTCCTGCGCGACGCCCGGCTTCCCCGTGTTAGGACGCGGTCTCGCCGCACGCCGGGTGGTGACGCCCCGAGCTCCCTGGGTGTGCTGACCCGGGAGGAGTTTTCCGCCCTTCGTTCGGACGTTGCACACACACACGCAGCATGGCAGGGCCAGCCTCAGGGAGGGCCCACGAGCTCAGCACCGCGGCGTATCCGTACGGGGGTTATGCTGGTAACCCTCGGCTTCTGTCGGCTGAGCGGACCATCTCTCACGGTGACGTGAGGGGTAAGCGTGAATGAGGCGTGTTTCCGCACTCTGGCCGCAGCCCGACCCAGGGGCGTTCGGGGAGTGGGGCGGTTTCCGTGGACCCCAGGCTTCCACCAGCTGACTGTCCTCCCTTTGCCTGCAGGGTCCATCTCGTCCTGTGACGCCTTCCTCAACGTCTTCCAGAGCAAAGGCCTGCGCCAGGAGGTCATCTGTCCGTGCGCCAGCTCCCCGGAAGCCCTCACCGTGGCCATCCGGAGGTACGGCCGGGCACCTGCAGGGCGGGGAGGGCAGAACCCAGCCTGTCCAGGGCAGCCTTCTTTCCTTGCACATGTGGGAATGGACTCTTCAGGGTGGTCCCGATTCACTAGTCAGAAACCCTGTGTCCCTCTGGGGACAGACCTTGTCCTCCAGTAAGTGGACACCACGGGTACATCACCCACATGTCCCACGCTGATGTCCCGGTGGGGCGCTGTTTGGGGCGGGCTGGGGAGTACTGTCTGGTGTGAGTGCAGTGTGGGTGGCAGCCCAGCCCGTGGACAGGCCCCTTGCGCCACCACACCGTGAACTCTGAAAGACCCTGGTTTTCTCAGCTCTTGGGTTGTGGATGGCCATTGCGGGGCTGCAGGGTGCACGTGGGTCGGGGCCTGCTTTGCCCATGCCCTTGGTTGTGTGTCAGTCCGCCTCACCTCGGGCCCCACGCCCTGCACACCGGTTACGGGCATGTGAGGCTGGCCCCACCCTGGCTGAGAGGTACAGGGAAGGCCTGTCCCGTTGGCACCTGCCGTCCGCCATCCTCACCGCGTGGGAAGGGAGGGTTTGCACTGTCTGTGTATTTCCAGCTCGGGATCAGACATAGTTCTCAGTATCTCTGGGTTCGGCCCTAGTAAGGTTGTCTTCTGCGTCACACACTGCGTGCCCCATTGTAAGCACAGGTGCTCGAGCTTTCAGCACACAGTGCATGTGAGTTCCGTCCTTGCCACCGAAAAGCTTCTCAACAGTACCCACTGGGAGGTTGTAAATAAGATGTTTTCTGGCGGTTTTAGCTGATAGTTAGTGAAAATTAACCAGACTGTCTGAGGGGCTGGGAAGTCAAAAAGCCTTAGAAGATCAGCAGCAAGTTTTAATTTCACTTGAACCAGAAAGGAGAAGTCCGTGACGTAATGTAAGCTGATGAGGAAATCGGACACCAGGAACCAGAATCCAGCCTTCGTTGTTAAAAAGGTGTCAGTTGAAGTCTGGCTTCGGATGGGATGCTGGGGACCGCGCCGGGGACGGGCTAGCGCTGGGCTCCTCCGAGACCAGCAGTCAGCTATCTGGGTGCAGCCTGGCCATAGGGTCCCTGCCACCGCGTCCTGGCCGTGGCCTCCCGGCTGCAGGCTCCCCTCTCCATGGCCTCTGCCTGAAAGCGTTAGTGTTGTGCCACTGTGTGACGTGGCATCCGTTGCTGCAGGTAAGTCACGAGGTGAGGGACTGAGACTCGTGGACACTCCAGCTGTGTCAGACCGTGGGGTCACGTGCTCTCCTAGATGGCTGTTCCCTGTGCGTGAGATCAGGCCAGACCAGACTGACACAGGGAGGACTCAGCGAAGGGCCTGTCATTGTTTCTCTAAAAATGTCAAAAAATCATTAAAATTTTTAAGAAGATTAAAAACTTAGTACCAAAAATAGGCAAATTAAGCACTATTTCCTGGGCTCATGTTTAGTTGCTTCCAGCGCACTTCCCCTGCAATCAATGGCCACGCACATCCCCACGCGCCCCAGGCTCCCCATGCATCCCCATGTGCCCCCATGCTCCCCGCACATCCTCATGCCCCTGTGCTCCCCACGCATCCCCCACATGTCCCCATGTGTTTTCATGGATCCCCGTGTTTCTCCATGCATCCCCACGCGCCCCGGTGCTCCCTGAGCATTCCTGATCCCCCGTGCTCCCCACACAACCCCACGTGTCCCAATGTGTACTCATGCTACTCACGTGTCCGTGTATACCCCTGTATGTCCATGTCCCCACGTATCCTGTGCTCCCTACTTGTCTCCATGGTCTTCACACACCTCCGCGTATCCCTACACATCCTTGCACAACCCCTGCACAGACCTACTGTGGCTGAGTCTGCAGCCTGACTGGCCGGGCGGGGTGGTTTCCGAGTCCCTCATCCTTCCCTTACCGCAGCTTGTGGACACCTGGACACAGTGGATGGGTCGGCCGCCCTCTGAGCAGGTGGGAGTGGTTGTGCTTGTAGGGACACGAGTCCGCCAGCCAGCCTGGCTTTGAGCTGGCTCCTGTCTGCAGACCCGCTAGCTCCTCTCAGAGCTGACCCCCCACCCTTGAGGTCTCGTCTGTGATTTCCCGGGTAGCTGGTAGAGGAGCCAGGAGCCAGGACAGGGCCACGGATACGGAGGAGTCCCTGCGAGCCCTGCATCCTGGGCCGCACCATGGTGGGAGGTGGCTGGCATGGGCCGCAGGTGGACCTGACCCCACCCGCGGTGAAATGTGAGGTTGAGGCCTTGGCCGGATCCTGCTGTGCTCTCCTCGCAGGATCTCCTGTAGCTCGCGGAAGGTCGGCACGTTGTTTGCTGGACTGTCACTCACAGTCCAGGGGTTAAAACTGGGGACGTGTGGCTGGGGAGTCCAGTCCGTTCCTACCCCAAACTGGCTTTACTGCAGGCATTTCCTAGCCCTCAAGAGCAATGTGCGTTCCCTTCACTGGTGCTGTGTGAGGTCGCTGGTCCTTCTCAGGCTCGCCAGTCCCAGCCGCGGTCCCGCGAGTGTCCTCGGGAGCCGCGGCATCCAGAGACAGGCTGCTCTCGTGATTCCTGTGGATTTGGAGTGTCCGTGGAAGAAAGTAGCGAGATAGGAACACGGAAGTACCCCGAGACTCAGCACGTGCTGTGGGGCTGTCACTTCCTGCAAGGGGCGTACCGGGCCCCATCCCCATGGGTGCATAGTTGCGTTCTCCGGTCTGTGTAGGGGAGGGATGGGACCCATTGGGGGCACACGCTGCCGTCGTGGCATAGCCGTGCAGCTCTTGCCTGTGGGTTTTACAGTGTGACTGTCACACGGGAGGGTCTCAGCCAGCTGGGACTCACATCAGCTCTCAAGAGCGAGGGACCCATGGCCGCCAGCACGTCCAGGCGGCGGAAGTCTCTCCTATGGCCTGGTCTCACCCCAAGCTGCCAGACGCTCCCCGTGAGGACTGTGAACAGGGTTGACATGATGGCAGCTTTGGCTCCTTTGCCCTTCCAGGGGCCCCCCGTGTGTTCTCTCTCCCCGTCAGTCTGGAGAGGCTGCCTGGAGGCAGGGCTGCCCACATTGGAGAACCCCTTCCTGAGCACACAGTTTCCAGAAAACAGGGTGACCCGAGAGGGCATGTGTCAGCAGAGGAAATCCTATTTCCAGCTTTTGGTAAAATTAGGTCTGTGTGGCTAGGGCCTGGAGGGAGGCCAGGGCACAGTAGAGCAGCTCTGTCCCCTTCTCTGCAGGACCTTTGGTTCACCCCACACGCGTCCTCCCCCTGGGAGCCTGCGTCAGGACGGCGTGCACAGCCTGGGGGCTCAGACACAGTGGGGTCCGAGTGCCTGAGGAGGCGGCGGCCAGGGCACCGCCTCTGTTCTCCTCCTCCCGCTTCCCGGCCCTTCTCTCGTCAGCCCGACAGGTGGCCGTGGGTGTCTGTCTGCTGGGCACGTAACCGTGAGCAAGGCCGGACCGCGTGGGGGCCTGGGAGAGCAGACCGCCCGTCTCTGGCCACGACCGATTTCGCCACGTGCTGTTCCCCAGTGGAGGGAGAGCAGCGCACGTCCCGGAGTCATAGGGGGCCGACGGCCCGCGCCCGTACTGAGGTCTCGTTGGCCCAGCGCCGTGCCTGCCTATTCATGTGCGCCGGCCACGGCACAGCTGACAGGAAGCCCAGTGAATGTTCCAGGCCCCGTGGCCCTTTGCTGAAAAGGCAGTGCCTGAGCCCCGTCTGCGGGAGCTCCCAGCTCTGTGCACAGGGAGCCTCGCTCTTTCCTCAACCACCGTTGACTGTCGGAGCGATGTCACGTCCGTCACTCCTTCAGAGAAATTCCCTACAACCAAGAGGTGCGTCAGTAACAGAAGAAACTCTTGGTTTCCCTGACGTGGAGTCTGTAATCCTCACTTATTTACAGACTTTGGTATAGAGTGGTCTCCGTCTGGTGGCTTGCCCTGAGCTCTTTCTCTAAATGAAGACACTGTCTTCTCCCAGAGAGTCCCGGGTTCGCTGGCACCTCCCGGGTCTCTCCACAGACCTGCCACCTGCGCAGTGCTCGAGAACCGGGCGTGTGCGTTCGCCGCGCATGGCACATGTGTGGGAGGGAAAGTGGAGACTGTTGCTGGGACCCACTTGCCACGGGTGGAACCCCATTCCCGCCTCACGTGGGTCAGTGGTGGCTCATGTGCTGGCCTCCGGCAGGGGAGCAAGGTTGCTGCAGAGGGACAGCTGAGTCGGACATCATCTGCGCCGTCCTGTCCTTGCCGAAGCTGTGACGGCTTAAACGTGTCCACTCGTTTTGCTGTGACATTTGGGCTGCGTATTTCAGAGTAAAGATACGAGCCTGGTGCTTGGGGATGGCTCCGTGGGGATGGCCCAGTGTGTCCTGCGGACTCTCGACGTTGGTGTGCTGGCCCCGGGCCTCACGGTCACTCCTGCGGACAGTGCAGTGTGAACCCTGCCACCTTGCTCCAGCGTAAAGCGAGGGGCCGTAAGATACACAGGGGAAAAGGTCTAGTTTTAACGCTAAGGTATTTGTGTTTTGCTACTGACATATTGGTTATAGCCAAACAAAAATAATTTTGGAAAAGATTGTTATAGGCAGCAGAGGGCCGTTAAACATTGTGGTTTCACAAGCACGTGAATGTGTCTGCACCGTTCGCACCGTCCTTCTCGGTTTCGCACCTGTCCGTATCTGTGACCAAAACTGAAGTAGAACGGTATTTTCAAAATCTGGACAAAAACCCCGCAGAGACGCCTAAAACGACGGCTCAGGCCGCAGGTGGCGTTGGAAATGGTGCTGCATTTCTTGGAGCCAGTCATTTGGGACCGTGCCCGCGTGGTCTTGGCTGAGCCTTCGTGTCCTGGAGACACCCTGGGTCCCGGGGAAACACAGCCTCTGGTGGTGCGCTCGCGCCTGGAGCGGCCCCGGAACACAGTGCTCTGCTCAGCCCTGGTTCACGCGGGCGAGGAACCGTGACGTCTGGGCCCGAAGCCGCAGACGGGCCCCACGTGCTGAGAAGCTGTGTGGT